TTTAGAAAAGTTTCCGTTTACTGTTTTTTTTTTGCCAAACTAATTATGGATGCCTGCTTTGTAAAAGCAGAAAGCACAAATCTGAATTTTTTGCACTAAACCCCGATTTCTGCTCTGCGGAGCAGAGAAACGACAAGGCATCTATGTAAGTACAGTGCATTTAGTATTACAATGTAGTAATAAACATAAAACTGATACAACATATGAATAAGTGTAATAAAGTTGCGTAGGTTAATTTCTTTCGGCACCTTAATCCACAACATTCCTGGAGTCTTCAAGGATGTGGTTTTATATTCTCGTACAATACAATAATGATGATTACTTTATTTTTCGTGATATTTATTAGAAATCATGTTCTTTTTATTATAAACTCGGATAGGTAAGTTATTTTCTACGTGCTTACGGGTTTTTGTTTACTACTGTTGACATCATAGCATAGACAATTTATAGACTAAAATGGCCGACAGCGTTTTTGTATGTCCATGAAAATTCTATTTTGAAATTAAAGATTTGTAGCTTTCTAGGTCTCAAAAAAATACAAAACTTTTTTTTCGGTCTAATAGAACATTTATTAACCATTTAAAACCTTTTTCCAAAAAGGGTCAACTAGCCTATTCCATTTGTCTTGTGTACTTGGATGATATCATAGTCTTCAGTACATCCCTTCAGGAACACACACACCCTTGAAAAAGTTTTTCAGAAACTCCGCGAGTCCAACTTCAAAATCCAAATAGACAAGTCCGAATTCTTGAAACTAGAAACACCCTACTTAAGACATATAATTAATATAGACGGTATAAAACCTAACCCGGATAAAATCTCAGCTATCCAAAAATATCCCATTCCAAAAACCACCAAAGAAATTAAAAGTTTTCTACTCTCGCCTTTTCGCCAGTACAATCGCCAATCAATGTTACAATTGTACTGCTCGTATCATAGGTAAGCCATTCCTCTGGCTAACATCATCCCGCGCAACGCCCGCAAGCGTTCGCCAGTACAATCGCCAATCAATGTTACGAATGTACTGTTCTTAATATAGGTAAGTCCTTCTTTTGACCTACCAATCGACACGTGAAATCATATGTACCATAAATAGTAATTAATTGACTCGGGGAAGATACTTAGCTCTCATATCCAGAATCTCGCAAGCAGCAGACATTTCAGCCGGAGTTGAACAGGAAAAGAAGACTTTTCTGACAGGTAAAAAACCGCGGAGCTACGGACCACAGATTAAGTATTAAAATTCGGTTAATGTTACTCACCACAGATTACAGGATTTTGTTGCCATATCCAATATTTACATTTCCCGTTTGCCCGTCGCGACAGTTACCCCTTTCATCTGCGTGTAATTTGTTTATAGAACGACATTATTTACAGATTTTCGCGTCGTGGTAAATAAAATAGACACCTATTCATTCAAATCCGTTTAGCCGTTTAGCAGTAGAGGTAACAAACACACGCAAACTTTCGCATTTGCAACATGATATGTATTTTGTGATATCCCACCAAATTTTTCGAAAAATCTCAATTTCAAGAATCCCTTTTATAGAATAGAAATATCGTCACAAAATTACTTGTGTTCCTTTAAACCTATTGCTATACAAAGGGACAGCCTTGGGGCAGCATTATGTAAAGGCGCCATTTTCGTTTCCGTTTAACTTTAGGTATACACGTCCTTGTCGTAGTATGCCATCTCCATAGGTTTCAGCAGAGAGTAGTATTTTTAATATAGAGGTTTCAGTACTCAGCTCTGAATAAGTATCAAATGGATATGACACGAAAACATAGACATACGTAGCTTCATTGTAATCTGGTATAGAAAGTACAAAAATAGAGTTGTCTTCTTTTTACATTCCTATTGATGTATATGAAAAAGACACCAGCACTCTATTTCGCTATATTTTATCCTCTACAGTAGTGAGAATCTAAATTTACTAAATAATTGTGCCCGTGTCGCCAATTTAGCTTCCCATTAGTGGTCTGTGGTTCCCTAGTTTGTTTACAAATAAACTCAAATTGTCGACGTGATTCTTATTGGAGGAATTTAAAACCGAGAAAATAATTAAATTTAGGATTTAAACATAAATGTGAAGTGTTCTGTAATTGATTGTAGCCTGTGTCAAAACAAAAATAGACCTAACCTAAGTTTTCACTGGTAAGTAACCAATTTAACTAGAAACTGCTATTTTTACAAGAAGTTGATCATGAAACTATATTAAAAATACAGCTTATGAAACCAAAGGCTACAGGAACCAAGGCCTGTTGCCTTGTGTAGTACCCTCTCATCGTTCTTGGTCTTATCGATATATTATTTCCCCTTTCTTTAGTTTGCCTCGAACGGTACTAATAACTCGCAACAGTGTATTTACCCCACGAATTAATTCAATTTATGAAAAACAATAAACTAATATAACTAACTAAACTTTAACTTTCCTTAACTAAAATCTAATAGAAAAGCGATTACAAATTTGTTACTCTAACATATTCCGAATGAAAATTATGATAAAAACTTGCTTATCTAAATTTTTTCATTTTTTATTTTCGGTCCACTATAGCCAAATTAAGTGACTTAAGCACAAGACCTGTATCAATGCACACAAATAATATTCTTGAAATTGTAAGTAAAGTATTCTGTTTATATTTCGGTTGTTGCATGTGTATATTGAATAATTTTGTAAAAACTATAAAATATAAAACTTAGCATCTGGGTTCATAGAATTCTAGGTCTCAAAAAACCGCTTATTCACTAGATATAGTTTTCATATTTTATAGTTTTTACAAAATTATGAAAACACATGCAATTACTAAAATATAAATAGAATAAATAGGTTTCAAAAATTGTATGCGCAGTGATACCACAGCTCCTTAGCGGACTGGGCCTGCACCCAAAATACCTTGCTACATTTTCAATACATCCTGAAAAAGATGCGGAGCGTCAAAAATACAGTGAAAAAGTATTTAAAACGCATTTATACTCGTTGAAAACTTGTTTCATTTAATGAGTGGTGTGCGTGAAAACTTAGAAACAAATATATTTAGTTTTGTTTTAGGCCTGTCAACCATCCAGCTCAAATAAATCTCATACATCCGTATATACTTAGACTGACTTAGAAATGGTTAGCTTTTTAGTCATTATTATTATTATAATATACACATAATAACAACCTCACGAGCGATAAAACCGCCTGGCTTTAGCAAATATTCGAAATTATATTAAACTTATCTCCTCAAAAGGAGTATTGAAGTGAACCTTGGACATTGGTGTCGATTCTAGCATGATTCTCTAAACCTAAACTTAAATTTGACAGCAGTATATCCTTGTCTTTCTCTATACAGAATGAAAAGGAGAGACTGCTGTAAAATTTAGTTTTAAGTTTAGAGAATCACACCAGAAGACACTGTTGTCAACAACAGTGTCTCTCTTATATACTTGCTCATTTATTTTGAAAACTGTTTACTGGATATTTCGTGGCTTCTGTATAATTATTTATTGTCTCCTATTTCACATTATGTTATGGAAGTTGACCTCATTAAATGTGTATAATTTTGATGTCAGCTTTCAATTTAACGACACTGTGGTGTCGATTCTGGCATGATTGTCTAAACTTAAAACTAAATTTAACATTAGTCTCTCTTTTTCATTCTGTATAGAGAATGACAAGGATACACTGTTGTCAAATTTAAGTTTAGGTTTAGAGAATCATGCCAGAATCGAGACATGTATGAAATTATACAGGGGGAAAAAAAGCAGCCGATGTTTTTTTGTCGGTTCTTCTCAGTATACAAGGTCTTCCGCCGTAGATTTGCGAACCGACGGCCTAGCTTTCGACTTTCATGTGTGCTTGTAAAAGCCTAAACGGAATAAATGAATATTGTTTTTTTTTTAAATTTTAACATCTGAAATATATGTTTATAATTAAAACTTGAATTTAATTTTAAATAATATATCATCGATATGCCCTTGAGTTACTTTTAGTTTAATATTGTAATAATGATTTATTAAAATTAATAAACGCCAGCCTTTATCATAATGTGTACAAATAACGAAAAGGTTTGTGAAATTTACTAAGCTATTTGTTATTGTTGTCCTTTTATTTAATAACAGTGGCAGAATTTAATTTACGTTGAATAAAATTATCTCCGATTGTTTCCGAAATTCAAACAGATTCTTCTCTCCCTCTAACCCTTTTTTCCAATATATATATTATGGGACCCTATATGCTTTCACCACAGCAAATAAAACATAACATCGATAAAAAGTATCGACTAAAGACATCCTACGTCCGCCATGTTTGCTCCCCGATTTTTTTTATTTGAGTAAACACGCGAAGAACATGCTTGTGTCATTTCCATATGATACTTATTCAGAGGTACACAGGAACAAAACGCTATCCATAGAGCCATTTTGTTTTAGTGTCAGCTGACGTTTCTGATTGTGAATCTATGCACCGCACCGTGCACCGCGGCGAAATTTCTGTGTGAACCGGGAGTGGCTTTCCCGGCCACAAAACACAAAAAAAACTATGAAGTAACTTTGTACGCTCTATGGTATGCATGCACTGAGTACGTAAAGAATGACCTAAAGGTCTTTGTTACAAGGTCATAAAATTAAAAAAAAAGTACGTAAAGACAAGACAAGGCAAAGACATTATAAATAAAGATGACAAAGTTGGGTTTTTGGCGGGATTTCATCGAGTGCGGTTGGCGTCTTATTTTAATTATTCTTAAATTCGTTCATACTGGATATTGTGAAATAAAATTGGTGTGGTTTTGTGTAACAATTGTCTGCGTAACTGAAGAATTAGTGGAATCATTAAAATATACGCTATTCCGGTCAAATGGACGTGAGATTTTAATTGTAGTGTTGACTACCTCACACAAGCTTATCGAAAAAGCCAACTCGATACATTTCGTGCCAAACACTCCAAGAAACATTAGAATGCGTCACACCGACATTGTAATGTAAAAACAAAAAGAAGATTAATTTAATTTAAGACCAGGCTGTATGGGCATTGTTCCCTTTGCCTTCTCTATAACGGGAGAACTTCAACAAAAAAAAATCACAAAGTTGAAGACGTTGAAGTGCTTCAAAATTAAAAATAATTCTAGTTAATACTTTTATTTTAGTAAAATAACCAACCAACCAAATAAGAAGGTACATAAACAAATTCGGTCGAAATAGGATGAAATGTTTTGACTGTCGCTGCTAATACGACATCTAATGAAATCAGACTAAAATGTAAGTGTTTTGCTTATGGTGTATCAGAGCTTTTAAAAAATAAACTAATGGTACTAATTACCATTTTAACAAGGTCACAAACATTTCACTAAAAGCAGTACCTACATATTTAACTTAGAATGCTTTATTCTAATGTTCTCTTTTATTAATTAGAAAGATATGTGGCAATTTGATGTTGCCTTTAATTTAGAAAAATATATAGCAAACTGGATTCTCAATTAAGTAATCTTTTGATAATCTAATTTGTATTTTTTTATTTTTTCTTATGGGTGATTCTAAGTTAAGAGGTTATGTTCGACGGCTAAGCCAAAAAAGTCATTATATTTGGAGATTATGGTCTAAAATCTTAATAATTTCAATTAACTAAATGTGTTCTAAATTGTCACTGAAAATTATATATAATGAGGTTTTATAAACTAAATAGATTTAATTACGAAATAAAACAATGGCTCAGCTTTCCATTATATGTAATTGAGTTGCAAGCTGAAATTTTTGTCACGCAAAGTATTAACTATTAAAAACACATACACGATATGTTTTTAGGCGGAAACGAATAGAACTCGAGAAAAAAATTATTGAAAATTAATATTTTTGTAGGTTATGAGTCAATTTTGACAGCAATTTTGATCAGTGCTGCCATTTTTTTATGCAAAAATAACATGATTCTCGTTGTCTATGGTAAATATAAGTTTATTATATTGGTACTATTGTCAAAATGTGACAATTTACCGCCATTAATGAGATCTGTCAGTCAGTGTTTGTGTTCGTCGCAGTTAAGAGCTTTTTCGTACTCCTGTTGATATTAACATCGTCTGACTACCATGGCATGGACTCTAATGAGCCACTTGTGTGGTGATACTTCACACTAGGTTAGGTTAGGTTAGTGTTGTGACCTTAACGCGCGAGCCGAGCGAGCGAAGCGAGCGTGCCGCGGCAGCGGCCGGCGAAGCGCCAGAGAGAAAAATTCGTTAATAGAGACTTTTTTTACAAAAAAATCAAATATCACCTCTAGGCCCTGGAAGTACAGTTTTACCTTTAAAACCCCTCTATTTTTTTATAATTATCATTTCTGTAAAAAAAACGACCCTTCCCTCTGAGGGGTCTTCCCTAATACCTATCCCCCTGAAATTCCACTACATATAACAGATTTAATGAATTTTTAGGTTAGGTAAAAAAAAAACTGCATTTCCGCCAAAAATCTTTTATGGCGGGGGGGTCGGGGGGAGCCCCCCCTCCCCCTCCCCTACAAATTACCCCGAAATTCAATTACATATAATGGAATTAAGTACCAAAACAATTGTGTTGCTCAGAAATGAGAAACAACATTTATAGCTATTATTTCATACAATTTTTCGTGCACAAATATTATATTTTATTTATTAATTGACGGATGTCAAAACCATATCTTTTTCTATGGTCACTCACTATTTTACCGTCTGTATTGAATGAAGGGTAATGAACCTCATTTACATCTCCCCCCCCCCCCCTTTAAATACAGTAGGATCTTTACTCCTGTAACACTGGAACAAGTTTTGTTATGTGATAGAGGTTTGATTCACATTTCTTGTGTCCTGTATCAACTTTGTATATAGTATTCGAAATTTTTTCTAAAACTTTAAATGGTCCAATTTTTATTTCATCCAATTTTTTCCTGTTTAATCGATTTCCGTTTTCAACATATACTAAATCTCCTATTTTTAATTCACATTTTTTTCTACCTTTGTCAAAGTGTTGTTTATTATAAGTATGTGATTTTATCGTATTTTCCAATGCAACTTTTCTGTCTTTCAACAAATCATTTAGTGTTCTTTTTTGTTTTATTTCTTCAGGTAATATATCTACATTTTCTCCTTCCAATAGATATAATGGGGAAAAACCTGTAATTGTATGCTCTGTTTCATTATATTTTTTTGTACATTCGTGAGCAATAGTAGTCCACGCCAGTTTATTGTTCTTTTCGTTTATTTTGCATCTAATTTTGTTTACTAAGGTTTGGTTTAGTCTCTCATTCAATCCATTTGAAAATGGCGCATTAACTGCGGTGAAGATAATAGTTATGTTTTCCTTATTTAAAAAATCTTTAAAGCTCTTTGAATTTATACCTGGATATTGATCTGATAGAATCATGCCAATCTTATTTCCAAACTGCGTTACCTTTTGAACTAGCTTTATAAAATCATTGGCGCTTTGAGTTTTCGATGTTAAAATATAGGCATATCTTGTGAAGTGGTCCACGAGAAGGTGCAAATATTTTTTTGTAGAACGTGTGCCACCAAATCCACCAATTGTATCAATAGATATTATTTCAAATGGGTAGGTAGCAGGACCCAAATGAGACATTAGTCCATATTTATATTTACCTCTTGTTTTATTTTTTATGCAGATTTCACATTCTTCACATATCTTCTTTATATTATAAGTCATGTTTTTCGCTGCATAAAAAGGAGTAATTTTATTTTTCAATTGTTGAATTCCAATGTGACAGTAAAGATAATGTATTTTTTTTATAAAGTCTCTACTAAATTCTTCTGTTAGTACTATCTTTGTTTTTTTCCCTGTTTTTTTATAGTAAACTGTATCTTTCAATTCAAAAGCTTTCTTATTTTGTTTTATATCTTCATTCCTTTGTTGGTCATTTTGAATCTCTTCCATTTTAATAACATTTACAAGTCTTAAATTATCGTCTTGATTTTCGTCTGACTCTAACACCGGATTTCTACTTAAGCTGTCTGCTTCAATGTTATATTTTCCTGGAGAATATATTATCTCAAAATTAAATTGTGAAAGGTAGTAAGTAAGATCTCCTATTTCGTCGTCCGTTCTAGCTTTTATATTCATTTTTTCCAAGGGCTTGTGGTCAGAAAAAACCTTAAATCTTAACCCAATCAGCCAGTGCTGCCAATATTTTATTGCTTCTTTTATTGCCAAGCACTCCAGATAGATAGCTTTTTTCTTTTTCTGTATGTTATTCAGTTTTCTTGAAAAATATGCAACAGGATTTTCCTCTCCATTGTTTTGTGGCTGTTTTAAGACAGCGCCTATACCCTGTATGCTAGCGTCCGTGTAAATATGTATGGGGAGATCTGGATCAAATATTTGTAAAATAGGTTTCTGGCAAAGTAATTCTTTAATTGTTTCAAAAGCTTCATGACATTTTTCTGACCAAACAAAATTTTGTCCTTTTCTCAATAAATTATGTAACGGGTCTAATATAATAGATAAATTTGGTACATATTTCCCATAAAAATTTATTTTTCCCAAAAACTGTCTAATGTTTTTCTGTGTTTTTGGTATTGGAAATTGTTTTATCGCAATCAAATTATCTTTTAGAGGTGTAATTGTATTATTTTGTATTATGTGTCCTAAATATTTCACAGAGTTTTGTGCAAAATTACATTTTGAAAATTTTAATCTGAAACCTTCTGCGGATATTGCTTCCAACAGTAATGATAGGTGATTAATGTGATTATTAAATGTTTCTGAAAAAATCAAAATATCATCAATGTAATTGACAGCAAAATCTGTCAATTTATGTTTTCTTATAATGCTACTCAATATTCTTTGGAAAATTGCCGGCGATGTTTTTAAGCCGAATGGTAAGCAGGTCCACTGAAAGTGTCCGTCTTGGGTAACAAATCCTGTTTTATGTCTATCTTCAATTTTTAAAGGAATAGCCCAAAATGCCGAATTTATGTCAAGGGTTGTAAAATATTTGCATCTTCTAGTCTTAACCATTAAGTCTTCAATTAGTGGAAAGGGCTGTGATTGAGGAACTACAATTTTATTAAGGTCGCGGAAATCTATACAAAGCCTTGATTTTTTTCCTTCTTCCTTTTTATAAGCCAGTGTTACTGGCGCAGCGAAAGGACTGTAAGATTCCTCAATCAAATTTCCTTCTAATAATTTCGATATCTGTTGTTCTATTTCCTTGTTATCTTGAATAGTGCACCTGTATGGTCTTTTACTGCAATATTTATCAACTAACAAATCAATGTGTGCTTCGTAGCCTTTTACAGTACCAATATCATATTTATCTTTAGCAAATAGAGATTTATATTTGTAAATTAGTTTTTCTATTTCTGCTTGATTTTCCATATTCAAATGATTTATTGAAATATTGAAATTATATTCTTCAATATGTTCATTAAAGTTTACTTTATATTTATGATTGTCTTTATTTGTAGATTCTTTTAAACTATTGATATTGTTATTTAATATACCGTCTTTCATATTTTTCTTGTTACCCGAAATTTTAGAAGTATTTTTCTTATTTATCTCATCTTTATTATATTTCAATTTCGAGTTTCGTATATTTTGAGTTACTTCTAACTCATCATTTTGAATAAGATGAAAGTTTTGTATACAATCTAAACCAATCAAGAAGTCGTAATCAAAATTTTCTTCATCCACTACAAAGACATTCATATTTTGTTCAATCTCGAAAATCTTTATCTTTATTGTAATTATTCCTTTAGTCTTTTTTACACCATTAATCGTTTTCAAGTTCGCATTTTCAAAGCTATTATTTTCACAGGTATTCTTTAATGACAACAATTTCGAGTTAATCAAAGTGACATTTGATCCTGAATCGTAAATACCCATAGTTTCTAAGGTGTCATTTAATAATACTTTGATTTTGATTAATGGTGGAATAACTAGTTTTTTGTATTAATTTCGTTTAATTCTATTTCTAATTCAGAATTATTGACATGCCTTATCTGATCCCTTTGAGGTTTATCCATACTTCGGTTTCTGAACCAACATGAGGATTCACTGTGATACCGGTTGCCCCTATTTCCTTGTTCACAAATCTTACATGGTCTATCTTTTCCATCTTTATCTTTATTATCAAAACCTTTTTTCTCAATACTTTTCTTATATACCAAATGTTCTAAACTTCTAATACTACTAAATAAATCTCTTGTATCACTTAAATTGCTTCTATCAATTTTATCTGCTATAAAGTTTGGAAGTCCAATAGCAATTAGATCAATTATAGTAGGTTTGTCTATCAATTTATTAATTTCCAATAAAAGCCTTTCCTTTTTTACAGCATACTCTAAAAGGGATCCTTGTCTATATTTAAACAACATGGCATACCTGACCGGCGACCAACTTCTGTCCATGTATGTTTCACAAAAGTTTTCTTTCCACATTGACCATTTCGAATCTACTGTATATTTTATTAGCATAGAGTTATACCAGTCAAGACATGATTCATCCAAAAATAATCTCAAGGCCTCAATTTTCTTAGTATCCTCTTCTATTTCAAAACGAGTGCATTCTGTTTCAAAAGTATCCATCCATTGAGGTACATTTGAAGTTTTTCGAGTGAATTTATTTATTACAAACAGCTCCTTCAACTTGCCAATATTACTAGATTTAGGCGAAATCTTCTTCATTTCGGAAAAACTTTCAATAATCCTTGTAAAATCTTTTTCTGTAATGCCAGCCGTAGCACCCTGTGTTTCTGGGGTTAATTCTTGTAACAAATATCCTCCGAATTGCATGTTTCCATCTTCATCTATGTAGGTTTCATGAATCTCTGGAGTGATAGAGATCCAAACCTGTCTTTTTTCATGTCTCTTTTGTAGTGTAGTTTTTACTTTTTGAAAAGCTGGAGTTTTTATTACCGCATCATGCAATCTTGCCTGTTGAAAATGTTCCGGTAGTAAGAAGGTGCATTTGTTGGTGTCAGTGATTGATATTATGCAGATTGTATTGGTTTTCGGATCCTCACTTGCTTTCACTACAAACTCAAACTTTAACTTTTCCATTGTAGTAAAATAGCTGTAGAAAATGTTGTTTTATAATGAGGTTTTATAAACTAAATAGATTTAATTACGAAATAAAACAATTGTGTTGCTCAGAAATGAGAAACAACATTTATAGCTATTATTTCGTACAATTTTTCGTGCACAAATATTATATTTTATTTATTAATTGACGGATGTCAAAACCATATCTTTTTCTATGGTCACTCACTATTTTACCGTCTGTATTGAATGAAGGGTAATGAACCTCATTTACATATATTCTAAATGTGCATAATTTACTAACAATAACAGCACAAAGAGGAAAAACATCTCTCCCCTGGGTTGTCCCCTAACCATTTTTTTTGTAAATCAGTAATTTTGAGTCCATTGAAATTTAATTTTTACTTTTCTATCATTAATAACATGAACCCTGATAACTTAGTTAGAGTATGTAACCATTAAACTCATTTATATTTGCACTTTTTATAAAAAATATTAATCGTAAACTGTGTCCTCCGAGTTTCGTGTCTCGCCCCCTGGCCTTAGGTTTAGTTTGAAAATCGTATTTGTTTACCATAGTCTATGCTAGTTTTGACCTTGAAGACACCGAGTGTCACGTGAAGTTAGCAGCAAGCACTGCACAAGCCATCCGCGCGGCAATTTTTTTGGCCATTAGCGCAACGGTGCACTATGAGTGCAGCCGTTTTGAGTGATCGAAGTATTTACCCTGGTAATTACGAAAAAAATCGTATGTATGTGTTTAAATACTACAATACCTATATACATTTATTTTAAATAGTGCTGCAAACCTTTTATTTATTTGTAATCTTTGTAAAATTAGTAGTTTTACGGCAATTTTAGATTTTTAACGAAAATGTCTCTCCCCTGCTATATTTCCCCTGGCTGTTATGGTGCCAGGCTACTAACAAAACTATAAAATCGAAGCAATAGCTCAATAACAGTAATGATAATTTATTAGAGAATGTACAATTGCATATAATTTTAGATAATTGTTTAGCTTTATATCGTTATTCCACTAAAATCTGATTGCAGGGATAAGTACTTTACATCCTAATATGGGCTCTAAGCGCATTGCAATAAAGTTCATTTTGTCTCTACCCTGTACTCAGTATCTACCCTGGTGTCTCGTAAAACGAGAATAAATTAATAAAATGACTGATCATCTTAAAATCATTAAAATCATCGGTCTTGATAAAAGTAGTGGTATAGTTATATAAATATCAACACTTTTTGCTGTGCCGCTGCTTCCATACAACCGATTACCTCTTAACTGAGAATCACCCTTATGTATGTATTTTTACTTTATTCTTATTCTAACAATTAACAGCATTACTATGTTTGTTGTCAAGTTTATTAATGTTTTTCAGGACTGAGTACTGGAAGTCCCAAGCTCGCAAATATTGTGAATTTTGTAAATGTTGGTTTGCTGATAATAAAGTAGTGAGTATTGGTCCCTATGGCTACATTATCCTAAAACCTTCTTAGTGATCCCTGTACATGTGTACACAATGTACCTTGGCTATGGTTTATTGATAATTTTTATTCTTATGTACTTGGGAGTTTGTGAAATCCTATATTTTTTTATTATTAATGATATTAGAAAGACATCTTAATAATGAAACAAGTTAATGAACATTAAATTACTAGATTTGGAAGATAATTTACTGGTAAACCTTTTTCATATATTGTTTTCTAGTCTATCTCATTCCACGAAAATGGAAAACGTCACAAGGAAAGTGTTCAAAAGCACATATCACAACTTAGCAAAAAAAGTGCCAAAGAATTCAAGCAACAAGGTAAAATGGATGAAGACATAAAAAAAATGGAAGCAGCTGCAATGGCTGCTTATTTAAAAGATGTTCAAAATAACGCAGACTTGACTTCAAAGGTAAATAAGTATATATTTTACCCACCTCAGATTACAAAACCAAAGACAGATGGAGTGCAATGGAAAGCAAATATCAAGATAAAACTGTACTTCCAGGGCCCAAGAGGCGATGCGAGGTAGAAAAGGTCACTTAACGTAACCTAGTGTGAACTATTACCGCTTGGGTCTGAAAGTATAGTTTAGCCAATATCAAGTCAAAAGCGAATATCAACTCACATCAGTACACTACAATGCCTGTAATTGTGTTGTGAATATACAATACAATACAATACAAAACACTTTATTGTACACCACATATAACATTAAATTTAGTTCATAACCAAATAAAACTAGTGTAACAATGGGCGGCCTTATCGCTTAGAGCGATCTTTTCCAGACAACCTTTGGATGGAGAGGACTAGAAGGAAGTGGGAGAGACGGCGATGTAAATCACTTGAGTGATATAGGTGATAATATGTACAATTATACATACATAAATATAAATATATAATAAATAAATACATACATACACATAAATAAACAAATCTAGTTCAGTTGGTAGTAGTCACAAATAAGATTAGCATCAGAAGCTATAAGGACATATAATGGGACTTTACGAGGTTTTTAAAAGCGTGGATAGATTCTGCACGTCGTATGGTAACTGGGAGAGAATTCCACAAATGTACGGCACGCACTGCAAACGAACGGTTATAAAATGTTGTAGCATGTACAGGAGTCTTCTTCTTCTTCTTCTCGTTGCTACGGGCGTTTCCGCAACTCGACGTCCTTATGGCGCCTGTTTTGCGTGAGGAGGGTGTATGGCCGGAATCACTCCAGCCAGCCCAGCTCCCCCAGGAACGCCCCCAGGGCCTTCACATTGGTGACTGCCTCTTGAAGGTTTCCCGGTGAGCCGAGGTATTTCGCCCGGTATTCGGCCACTCCGTTGCATTCCAGCAGAACGTGAGTAGCTGTTTCTTCTGCCTCCATGCATCCTCTGCATAGGGGACTGTCCGTGACACCTAAGTTGAAAAGATGTCTGTTAAAATGTGCATGTCCAGTGATAGCACCCGTTACCATGCGCAATGTAGGTTTGCTTAGCTGTAGGAGAGTTTTGGAGAAGGCAGCGTTCACCCGTGGCAAAGCGAGCTTGGTCTGCCTGCACGTCTCCAGGTCGAGCCAGTATTGCTGGTGTAGTTCGGTAGTGTGCTCGCGGATTTTATTGACGAGACAGCTTACCTGTATTGGGACGATTGGTTCAGGACCTGTTGGGGTCGTATCAGATCCCTTCCGGGCCAGCTCATCCGCAGCGTCGTTTCCGCGTGATCCACTGTGTCCCTTGATCCATTGGATGGTAATGGAATTGCTTGACCCTACCTTGTTTAAGGTTTGGTGGCATTCTTGTAGGAGGCTCGATTTGACTAAACAGGCATCTAGAGCTTGTAGGACTGATTTACTGTCGGACAGTATTCGTATTTCCTGACCTGTTACCTTTCTTGAAAGGATCGCTGATGCCGCCAGTGTGATGTCCATACATTCAGCTTGGAACACTGTGTTGTATGGGCTTAAGGGGAACGCGATGTGTATGTTGAGGTCCTCAGAGAAAACACCCGCGCCCGTGCCCGATGAGGTTTTAGAGCCGTCGGTGTAGATCATGAGAGCCTTGTGTGTCACCTTTGGATCGTTGTCATCCAGTAGATGTATTCTGTACTTTTTGTCAAATATGAAGGCGGGTATTATTTTGTCACATGCAGCATCTATGAGCGGAGTGTTTACCCATTCCTTCAGTATACCGTTGAGATGCTTTGCTCTTTCGAACCTTACCAGTCCAAACTTTTGTAGTCTCAACGCTGTTTTAGCTGCTTCCTGTCTTATGTAGATATGGAGCGGTGTGATGTTTAAAATAACTTCCAGTGCTGCGGTTGGAGCTGTACTCATGCACCCGGTCACCGCGCTGCATATCTGCCGCTGGAAGCTTTGTAGTTTATTGACACAAGTAGTCTGGATAGATCTCGGCCACCATATGATGGCGCCATAACTTACCAATGTACAGAAGTCATGAGAGTAAGATTTTCTGATGACCTAAGGGATAACGTGTTAGAAGTGTGAAGGAAATTAAAACATTCCTGGAGATAGCGCGGGGTCTTAGGATTAAACAATTTATTCTAAAGGAGAGCAAGAATATGAGCATTCCGGAGAAGACGAATAGGTAGCCACTTGAGTTGCAAACGAAATTGAGAAACGTGATCATATTTGCGCAAGCCAAATATGAATATGTCCAGTGAATATTAAGGTTTTATCAAAACTGTGCCGCCTTGTTGAAACATTGTATAAACTGTTCACAAAGACAAATAGAGTCCTTACTTTTGCCTATGTATTTGCTTTGGTGTTCTGTAATCATATTCACAAGTGCATTGCTGCACCAGTGCGTGGAGGCAGTCATGGCTATGTGAAACAATTTTAGGAATTGTGGTGCTCATGTTGTGGGATGAGTGAACATGCAAAAGTTTAGTTTTTTGAGCATTTAGAACTAATCCCACATCGTGGGCCCATTGACATGACAAATCAAATTTGTTTTGCATTTGTTGTTGAGCTTCTGTAATGTTTTTGCTAGCTACAACCAGGCAGGTATAATCCGCAAACTGGTATACATGGTCCATGCCTAAATTCACCATATCATTGACGTAGAGTAAATATTCAGTTGGGCCAAGGATGGAGCCTTGAGCCGTGCCCCTATCAATTGGAGTCATACTACTAACTTTATTTGAAATTTTGACTGTAGCAAATCTGTTCGTGTGATAATTTTTGAATAATTCTAAAGCGCGGCCCTGTATACCATTCTGCATTATTTTTTTATATAATATCTCATAATTTAAAACGTCAAAAGCTTTAGAAAAGTCAATAAATACTATTAAAACCTGCAATTTATCATTTAAAAAACTGTTAACCTCATCCGTAAATTTACTAAGCAATTGAGTTATACTTTTCCCCCTTTTGAAACCATACTGCCTACAATTTATTATGGATTTATCTTTGTCGTACAATCCGCAAGTGGAATGGTTTTCCTGCTCATGTGTTCCCTTCTGCCTACAACCGGTATCCTATAAAAGAGGCTTTAAGAAGCGAATTGAAGGTCGGTAAGGTGAGGAAGGCTGGTTTGGCAGGTAAGACTGCTGTACCAGTTATCTTCGCTCTGGATTCTACTGTCACTTAACATCAGGTGATGTCGAATCTTTTGTCTGACCTTTTATTAAAAAAAGTGAAAAACTGAAATTTTAAAAATATATTGTGCCCGATTCTCTTACCCTTAAATACTTTATATGCTCCCAGTTAAATACAGACTTAAATTAAATATAGACTGTTGTCAAATTTAGTTTTTAGTTCCGAGAATCATGTCAGAAACAGGCTCATTAATATAAATAAAATAAACATTACTTTAACTACCATGCTTTTGACCTACAGTTATCACACTAATATTATAAAGGCGAAAGTTTGTGAGTGTGTATGTTTGTTACTTCTTCACGTCTGGAGCGATTTTAATAAAATTTATTATGGAGTTAGCTGACACCCTGGATTTACACATAGGCTACCTTTTACTGCGGGAAAATATCCCTTATAAACCTCGGGTATATAACTGACAACAGAAGCAAATTAGGCCAAATGTCGATAATTGGCCAGCAGTAATAAATACGCTTTTGTTTTTTACAGAACATAAATAAGATGCTGGATGAAAACAGCAGTAATGATGTTGTTGTTACAACTGTTGCAGCAAGCAATACAAAGAAACAACCTGTTTGGCATGAAGTGAAAAATGATGATGGCAGTTCTTATTATTGGAACAAGGTTACCAATGGTGGGTATAACAGTATTATTTTTTAATTTTCACGGCGACGCCCTAAGCAGTTGCAGTGGCCAACGCTTTCGGTCTGCGATCGTGGAAGTTGAAGTTTCGCTATTTGCAGGTCGTTCATACGATGGTTGACCAAAATTTACTATGAACTCCTGTGTGCTTCGGAAGGCAAGTTAAGCCTGTTGGTTCCAGCTGCCTATACTTCATCTCATTAGTGATGATGACGGGGTAAATTAAACGAAATTCTGTTTAGTCCGTCAGTTAGATTATGAAAAATAATGGATACTTATTTTATCTTTTGTGAATCAACCTAAAACATTAGGTAAATACAAAGAAAAAGCGCGGCAAAGTTTGCGAGTAGGTACTCGTGACGTCACTTCTAAGTAAGTAAAAATTTTACCAAAACGTGACGTCATGTGCATTCAATTGCGACATTTCGAGTCAATATATATCTCTGTAATGTTATTTTTATGTAAACGAAAAAAATACGTATCTAATACTTTTTGGTAATCTACCTGATAGATGAAGGAAAAAAAGTTAGTTCCCATCCCTTTCTAATAATATGGTCAGTATATAAAAATGTTATAAGTATGCCCTTCTCTTTTCAGAAACAACATGGGATACTCCTGATAGTTTTCTGTCTATAGTAGATCAAGAGAAAGAAAAGTTGAAAAAGGGTAAAAGTGATAAAGTCAAAGAAAAGCAAAAGTAAGTGAACAATCAATCATGCTGTTCCCAAGCAGCCAGCAAACTGAAAGCGACCTGAATATGTATTCCATCCTTTTATCATAGGGAAGGTTTGTGCTCCAGTAGTGGGGACATAAATACGCTGATGATTATTTGTAAAATTGCTGTGTAAAATCACAGATAGTCTGTGCGGAAAGAGAATCCGCTTTTTAAATCCCACCCGCGCCAAGTGCTTTCTCATCAGACTGTGTATATGTATTATGAATTTCAAAAACAGAAAATTGTCATTCACGCGAGTGTCACGACCACAGCGTGGAAACTTTTCATGAATTTTGAGTTCTTAAAACGCCCCCCATGGTTTTAAAATCTTTTATAGAGGATTCATATCATAGGCGTAGATAAAGTCTTGTATGCAAATGTTTATAATTAGGTATTAAAACACTCATATGATAAACCCACATTCGTGTTTTAATACCCTTCATTATACAACAGTTGCATAAATAACTATTTAACAGGAAGGAAATGCACAAAGAGGCGGTGAAGGAAGTGAACGCCCACATTGCACGGGAGAGAATGAAGGAATTAGCCCCGAAGCGCGAAGAATCGTCTGCCCCTGTTGCCACGTACGGGCCAGCGCCTCGTGCTTCCGTACCTTACGGATCCTGGACGCCCGTCGTCAATGAGTACGTTTATTATTTCATTTCTTTAATGTCTAGGTATGTTTGTTTTGTATTCCTATGTTAAACGCCCACATTGTACGGGAGAGAATGAAGGAATTAGCCCCGAAGCGCGAAGAATCGTCTGCCCCTGTTGCCACGTACGGGCCAGCGCTTCGTGCTTCCGTACCTTACGGATCCTGGACGCCCGTCGTCAATGAGTACGTTTATTATTTCATTTCTTTAATGTCTAGGTATGTTTGTTTTGTATTCCTATGTTAAACGCCCACATTGTACGGGAGAGAATGAAGGAATTGGCCCCGAAGCGCGAAGAATCGTCTGCCCCTGTTGCCACGTACCGGCCAGCGCCTCGTGCCTCCGTACCTTACGGATCCAGGACGCCCGTCGTCAATGAGTATGTTCATTATTTCATTCCTTTAATGTCTAGGTGTGTTGTATTCCTATGTTAAACGCCCACATTGCCTATTGTAACATATATGTGTCACCGGCGGCCGAAACGTGTGACGTCACAGAGCTTGATCGTGGTTCATTCCGGTCGAACTTCAGTAGCGTCTCTACACCCGCTCGCGGTCAAGTGCTAAAGCCCTGTGACGTCACAGCCACGTCAGCCGAAAAATCGTTTAGTAATTTGGTCATAACTTATTCAATATTTGTCGTAGAACAAAAATTTAACCACCGTATTTTATGGAATCCTTAGCTCTATAAATCTGCATTCTCAACTAAAACCGTTCTTTTTCTTCAACTTGTCTCGGGCACGGGGCAGGATTTAAACGAGTACAAAAAAAAAAGTATTTTAAATAAGTTCACGCGTTTATGCATCTACGCCAATAAAATAGGGTTGCGCCTCTCGTGCTAGAAGTATTAAAGAGGCGTCTGTGACATTATAAGTATACTGAATTACTAAGTATAATTATACTGAATACAGAAGCTCTTTTTGTATTTGCTCCGCGTGTATGCCTGTGTGGCAATGGACAGGACACGTAGCGACGAGAACGGATAGCCATTACGGCGGAAAGGTTCTTGAATGGCGTCTGCGCACCTAACGACGCTTAGTGGGTTGATAAGTGGATAGGTGGATATATTTAGTGTGGTGTCCAATATATATTTTTTAATTTTATTAAACCCAGTGTCACTCATACAACTTAGGCTAGTCTGGCACCTCATAAACTAAAATCCTTGTAGCCGTTTAGGATGCAGAGCTTCCGACGACCGGGGGGAAGACGGCGGCAGTACGACCGCCTCTTTCCACCCTAGTGGGACTGCGGGCGGCGGACAGGGTAGTCCGTCGCTCGCATTGCGCAGTCTCACCCGTCGAGGGAGGATGCCTAGGTGCTCCCGGGCATCCCCCTGACCATCAGGAGGAAGAGGAACCTCTGCCGGGTAACGTGGAGCGTCACCCGGATCCCACAAAACCCGTTCCGGCAGACGAGGGAGCACTGTTGGGTTTTTAGTGGGTAGCCCCCCCCCCCCCCTCATCCCGAACAGCCGCCGAGCCAGCCTGGCTTTATTTGGGGGGAGGAGGAGTCCCACATAACCCCGCCACATACCGGCGGGGTATGCATAACGCATTTTCCCAACAATAAAAAAAAAAAAAAAAGGATGCAGAGCTTAATTGAGGAGTTGATAGTACTCGAATGATTGCTCTGATGAAATGGCGTAATTTCAAATAATAAAAAAAACCTTTCTCCTCCAGTTCCCTGCATATTATTTTGCTTTAAGCATTCAGTTTTGAACCACAGTTCTTCTGATATCATCTACCTAGCTCTGTGTGCCTAGCATGACTGCCACAATACGATATGATAAAACTGTTTATCGACATCCAACTGTCAAAATACAATAGATATAACCTCCATGTTGAAATTTTATCGAAACAGCGAGCATGAACTTGTCGATGATATGATACGGCAGGATACGATATGATATTTTAAAGTGCGAGCATGAGCATCGGTTTTATATCGATACATACGAGCATGACTAACTTTTAATAGATAGTTATCGTTAATTATATCGAAATATGACATTTAATAGCAAAACTTTATCGACGACTGTTGGAGTGCGCGATATGTCATAAGCGAAGATAAAAACATCTAATCAAGTTACCTTTACGTTACTTAAAAAAGTGAAAATTCATATTTTGTGACGAAAGCTTACAATTATTTAGGTCAGTGTCGTTTGTACTTAGGAAAACACTGAAAGCTGTATTTTTGTTAATTAGCATGTCGAGGTCATTTGTACGACTGAATCTCCTTGCCTCAGAGGAGAAGGAAGTTAGAAAGGAAGAGAGGGTCATTATCCGTGAGCTACGTGACCCTTTTCTACTTCCTCTTAATGAGTTCGTACGGAATTATAAGGTGTCCATGGAAATGGTGCATTATTTGTGCTCAGAATTGCAAGAAGATTTGGCTCCTCAATCTTCTACAGGATACCCGGTCTCGCTAAAGGTTTGTTTTATTAGACAGATAACTTTACCTTCTAATTATTGAAACACAATAAAACTCCTTTTTTTTACTTAATAATCTCTTCTTTTTTTAGGTTATCTCGTCATTGAAAATGCTGCTGGATGGCCACTACCAAAGAGGAAATGCAAACGAGGCCAGCCAATGCATTGGGCAAACTACAGTCAGCAAATACCTAAACCAATTTGTGACTGCTGTAAATGCGCGGTAATGTATTACATGTGGCCACACACATTTAAATTTAATGCTTGTCAAATTTGTTACCTATTTTACTACCTGTTTCAATCAACCTCTAGCAAAAGGTTAATATAATTTCGTTGTGCTTTGTTGCAAAGATATTTTTATTATTAGGACTATAGTATTATCTGTTGCGAAGAACTGTGGGAACCAGATAATACTTACCTTTTATTAGAGGTTGACTATGTGTTGAAACTGGCCGTTAGTATAGTTATATTGTTATTGCAAAGAAAGTGACAGTGACTACTTAAAACTAATATAAAATTGTTATCTCTTAGTGAGATGACTTGAAACTAATACATACTGAAATAATTATTGGTCTAAAAAACTTTCTTAACAGGCTGAAACATCAATGGCTAAATTTTCCTGGTACTCCAAGAGAAAGGAACCAGATTTCAGAAAACTTCTTGTTGAAAAGTGGAGTGCCAAATATTTTGGGGGCCATAGACTGCACTCATGTTAAAATATTTCCCCCCAATGGGTTGACTAATTCCCAGTATAGGAATCGACATGGAGATATGACTATAAATGTACAATTGGTAAGTCTGATTTCTAAGAAAAAAAAGTGTCATTTTTTTGTTTTAGATTACTGAAAAAGAGTAGAGAGCAACTCTTATATATATTTTAGCAGACTTCAAAAAAAAGGATGTTCTTGGTCTGCCCTGATATTGTGTGAATCTTTTTAAACTATAAATACCTAAATACTTACATAATTTCAGATTTGTGATGCTGATGCCAAAATTTTAAATGTTAACGCCAATTTCCCGGGAAGTTGTCATGACCAGTACATCTTTAATAACTCTTTAGTTAAAGTTGAACTGCAGAGGTTGTACAATGAGCGAACTGGCCAATATTTTTTACTAGGTATGTCATACCAAAATTGTTTTCTGTATATTTTTTTATTAATGTTTAATACTAATTTGCCACAAAGTAAGCACTGTAAGGCTTGTGTTATGGGATACTAGGGTTACAGATAGAATACAATACAAATATGAGTATATTTATCTCGAAATATATATGAACATCCATGAACTTGGTACAAATGCTCATATTCATCAAACCTTGTATCCACAAGCCATAATTGACGCGCAACACATGAAGCTCAACAGATGAAACGCAACATAAAAGTTCCGCATTGTTGTGGAACATGACAAGCGTCATCAGAAATCTAGCATACATACCATACAGAGGTCAATAATCTTTAATTTTCAAAGCAATAATGCAGTTTTTGGGGAAGACTAGGTATTAAGTAAAAACAAAATAAGTTGTTATTAATCATCATTTATATTTGACACTTGAATAATAATAATTATAAATTAACAATTAAAAATTATTTAAATAAATTCTTGCGCAGCTGCCATAAACTGTAACAAACAATAAATGAGTAATGAATAAAAATATTTTACAGGAGACTCAGGATATGCACTGGAGCCTTGGATGATGACACCTATTACCAACACAGTGGTTGATTCGCCTGAGGATCGATATACCTCATGGCATTGTTCTACACGCAATGTCATCGAGCGCACAAATGGCTACCTTAAAGGCACCTTCCGATGTCTGGGTATAGATAGACGCCTGCATTATAGCCCAGAAAAGGCGTCAGCTATAATTTATGCTTGTTGTACATTATACAACATAATGAAACATTTTCGGTAAATATTGTTTACTTTTAAAGCAACTTCTTATTTTCATTTTGTTAGAAGAATTAATGTTAATTTACTGAAATATTTTCAGAATTCCTCCTACTGCAAGTGAAGTAGAGGCAGAAGAAGAAACGCCACATCTACCACAGGCTTTGCACGAGACTCTTCTGCGTGTGGCACAACAAAAGCGGCAAAATTTAATACAAAATCACTTCATGTAATATTTTTAATATATATCTACTATTATAACAGCACAAGATTTTTCTTTCGTATCAATATCCCAAACATAACAGTTGGCGCTTTGCTGGCCCCTCACATGGCTATTTGTATTTGGTATTAGTGAATTTCATAATAATCTTTCCTTTTGGATCACTTTAGAGCATATTTATGATATACTGTTTTCGATTGTATAAATGGCAAGTACGAATAGGCATTTGATGTGCTAGTATCATAGGCAGACCGTGGCCGACTATGAAAGTTTCTCTGGCTCCAAAAATTTTCAATAGCTCATACATATTTCTTAGGTACTTACTTCTCCTTATATTTCTGTCGCGATCGTACGGCATTGTTGCGATTCATAAGATTTAATTGATTTGCAATATCCTATAACAAAATTAAAATTAAACATGTAGATATTTGAGTGATGGCATTGAAATATAATATTATTTATTAATTTTCCCTTCTATTGTAAAAGGACACATACCCTCAAAATATTATTGCTATCCAGCTCTGCTTCTAGGAATTGGTTAGCTCGTGCTTGCGGTTGGGGTCTGTTACGGCGCTGTCGCTCGCGCTGCTGCTGTTGCTGACGTCCAGCTCCAGCGGACCTCCTGCTAATGCTCGCACCCGAGCCCGCACCCGCACCCCGTCTACGGTCGTTATCTGTGGCACTTGCACCCATGTTAATCTGTAATGAATGAAAGATTTAGTCATAATAACACATTTATTGAATGACCAAAAATTTACTATCTCGAGCTTCTCTGTGCTTCCGAGGGCACGTTAAGCCATTGGTCCCAGCTGCATCTGCAGTCATTAGCACCCATCAATCCGGACTGGGCACGTGTGGTAGGTCATGGCTCAAACTCTCTGTTCAACCCATAGAGAAGGCCTCTGCCTCAGCAGTGGGAACATTAATAGGCTGATGATAATAATATTAAAAGAAAAATAAAGCAACTGCTTTAATAAAATGTCGATGAATCTCTGTTATATGAATATTTAAGAAAGATCCTAGATAACTAGGCTCCTTTTTAAATTCAATATCCTTTAAAAACTATTTTTTACTTGCACTTAACTACTAAAAATTTAGTAAATTACAATTAATTATTATTAGATGAAAGTAACTCACCATTGAAATTTCATCAAGCTCAACTTGATGCAGCTGGTTGACTTCTGCCCTGTTTGATTCTTCTATCTACAAAACATAAAAACGACACTATAAAATAGATTTTATATAGGTATTACAAATTTCCAAAATAACAATCTGGTAACAATTGATTTTCCAATATCCATCCATTGGCAAACTTATTGTCAACAATATGAAATTTTAAAAGCTGGTACTTTCTATGTCTTAATTTCACTTCCATTTCATGTTTCATTTAAATTAAAAATGAAACTTAAGACAGGGATTTATTATAAGATGTAAGTGAATAAGGTCACCCACCGTCAAAACTTCATCATGCTCAACTTGATGTTCTTGTGGCAGGTTTGGATCTACCACAACTTGATGAATGTTTTGTGTACTCTGTAATAAATAATAATACTAGATAAAAATTGACAAATTAACTTACAATAGCTACTAAACAATTTGAGCGAAGGTCACACCAAGACCTAAACAACTTAAATTTTTGTTTATATCTCGGTGTGATCTCAGTTTAATTTCCACTACTATTGCTATGACATAGTAACTTACTTCATTATTATTTTGGTTCTGTACACCTGACGGTCCAGCCTAGAATATAATATTAATTAATGATAAATAAAGTACTTCTTTTGAAATACAGATGAAAACGCCTTATTGAACATATCATTAGAAAAATATTAGAAACATTATAATTTGAATAATATTTTGTGTTTTGTCATCACTCAATCGAAGTTATTTCTTTTAATATTTAAAATGTGGGAAGGTTAGGTATATCTGCTGCACCTAATATGTATTAGCACCAACAATACATTTTGTTTAATTAAATTTTAATCAAGTGACTCACCAGTTCATCCTCTAATACTTCTATGGAGAAGCCAATCTGTAATAAAAATGTCTTCAATTGTATTTTTGTTCTTAGTTGGTACTTTGTGTATTACATATGTAGTAAGGAGTACTTACACCAGATTCTTCAGCACCATGGATCCCAAAGGCTCCTTCGGTGCCCATGACTCCAAGAATTTTCTGAGAAATTTCAGAAATGGCCGGTACTGGAGTTGCATTTCCAGTGATATTTCTGGCACGATTCGCCACACTCCCCTCAGTTCGGGCCTTGCGGCGTAAGTCGCGCCAAGTCTGAATGATAGAATACAATAGAGTTTTAAGCTGTGTTTTAATCATTTACAAACAATCCTTTTTTTTTAATAATTATCCCATTTTAAAATTGTCTAGTTAAATATTAACAAAAACATTTAATACTTAGCGTTTATTAATTATTGACAGTAAAAAATATCCTTACCACTTTCCACTGCTCCAAAGATTTATCCGGCCCGTGTTCATTTAATATGACGCGCAGTTCCTCCCACTCCCTTTGCTCGTTGACCCTTCCTTGTGGCCCAGAAAATTCTCCATGAGCCAAGCGCGGATGCGCAGCCATATAATCAGCAAGCAGCTTAAGCTGCTGTGCTGTACTTCGGGTTCTAGGTAGTCAGGTAACATATAAATGTTACTAATGTGTGAAATAAACTAATGTAAATTCAAAAACGGGAAACTGTTCTCATAAAAATTTACAACTTTTTTAAAAAAAAATATGAACAGTCCGCACGCAAGGTACTACTACAAATACTTACCTTGTTTTCCCAGACATTTTTCTCGTAAAAATCTATAAATACAAGAAAAAAATTCGAAAAACCGTTGACAACAAAACAAAACTTTATTGACACTGACCAAGTAACTTTTTAAAAGTAAGTTTTCTTTTATATTGGCTGTATTGACTCCAGTTTCATTTGCCTTCCTTTAAATATGAAAAATAAAACTAAAAAAGAATGAATGATGATTGAAGTAAAAGAAAAAAATATTTACATATTGGCAACATTCCATATCGGCATATCAGAGCATATCCCGTGTTAGTTTTATATCGTATCATATCGATACGTTGTTCATGCTCGCAAAATCGTTATATAAGTTGTTGTCATTATGATATCATATCTTTTATCGTATATCGACATCGTGTGCTCATGCTAGGGGGGCTGAGATGGACGTCCACGAGATCTGCTGTTATTACGGGGTCACAACTCCAACAAATTATTAATTCTTATAGTGATGTTATAACTATACTATATGATACTGCTCTATACTAAATGAAACTACGAAATGCAAATCATTTAATATCACGCCCCCCCAGAACTAACTACGGCAAAAGAAACATTGAACATGACGGTGTAATAATATATAATAAGCTGCCAATAAAAATAAAAGATGCAAAGTCAAGGATAAGTTTTAAAAAACAGCTCAAAAATTATATTTTAGAAGAAATCTATTAATATCATAATAAGTATAAACTTCAAATATATATACAACATTGAATAAGACAGATATGTTCATATCTTATTTTTATTGTGGCAAAATAAATAAAAATATTTGTTTCTTAGGTTTTCACGCACATCACTCATTAAATAAAACTAGTTTTTACGGGTTAATGCACGAAACTTTATTTATTTATTGACGTTTAAAATAAAAATATTAAGATTTTGTGAAATATATATCTACTAGTGATGTAACGAATGTCATTTTTTGAACATTCGCGAAACTATAAAAACATGTTTTTTTTTAAATAAAATTATAAATAATTTTACCTACCAAGTAAATTAATAAAAAGTTAACATAATATAAAAAAGATAAACTAAATAAATAAAAGCAATATTTTTTTTAAGCATTTAACTGCTAAGTTCATAAATAAATTGAAAAATTAAACATACTCTGTCTAATTTACATCAAACATGCCATGCCGCATCTAGAATCGATCCCAAACAGACCGTTCTTTGTACATCCGTGGTTGCCTAGTGCAACTGTGCGAGTTGAGATACAATATCGATCTACCCACGTTGATTTTATTATTATATGTGTACGCTCAAGTGCTATATGCATTAAGTTAAAACTTCATTTTTCTCAGTAAGTGGATTGTATTATTCTTTTTGAGAAATAAAATTCTTTAACCATATATTTTTTCTTTGTTGCAGACGCATTCAGAATGTTGACCTACAATTACCAAAAACGAAAGAAGTGGAGCCACCACCTGTTGTAATGGAACCAGAAACTGTTGAATTCAGAGAGAAAAGAGTCGAGTCTCTGGGCGATGGACCAGTGGAGTTCAAAAGGCGGAAATTAAACAACGCGAGACGAAACATGCGCCAGAAATTAGATGATGAATAAATAATATAATAAATATATGTTTTATATCATGATTTCTATTTTATTTAATAAAGAACCTGTAGTACTTCTAAGTACAATCACGATCGAAACAAAAATATAGAGGAAGAGTGGGTCAATAACCACACGGGAACAATGTTGTTTCATAAGTGCTAATGTCTACAGATATAACCGGGACCGTTTAACATGTCTTCCAAAGCATGTAACCTCATCCGGGCTTCAAAAAGCAAGTTAAACCGTTGATTCTGGCTGCATTTGCAGTCGTTAGTTTACTCACTTTATTATTTAGCTTCTGCGTGCGCTTTCGTCCGCGGTATTCTAAAAAAATCTTTATTGAGAATCGCACAGGAACTAAAAAACCCGGTCTGAGTTACCAGTGTAAATTACGTGGTAACTATTCCTGAGTGCAATAAGTTTTGTTTCATGCTTTTATAAGAGTCCTAACCTAGTGAAAGCCACGAAATATGATCCTATACGCCGATGTAAGTCAAAATTATCTGATTAAATGTACTTATGCAAAATTAGCAGTAATTTATGCTGTTAAAAGTGCAGCAGCCAAACCCATCACCGGAGCTTTATAACTAGCTTGTAACTACACTCGCGAACAACCAAATCGACTCGAGCTTTACCTCTACATCCAAACATTGTTATAAATAAGGTATACAACATTTAAACAAAAATAATATGGCATTTGAAAGCTTGAAACCTAAGCTTTAAAAAAACATCAATACCATTAAATAAAACGAGTACTAACATGTTTATTTGCGCAATTAGGGCGTATGGGTACGGCCAGAGTGCACTCAGATTCAGATTCAGATTCAGAAAACAAGCGCGAGAAATAAACAGTGTAGTTAAAGCAGGGTGGCCATAGTGGCAGCTGGCAACCTGCTTAAACTACACTATATTTCTCGCGCTTGTTTTCTGAGTCTGAATCTGAGTGCACTCTGGCCGTACCCTTAGGGACAAATTACTCACTACGCTACCTGCGAGTTGCGTTACCCTCTACCCTTATAAAAACCCCCGTGGCCCTTCAACCCTTACCAGACCTGCAGCGGGCCCCATCCCGCAAACCACTCGACCTCCCCAACCCGCCGGAAAGAGGGGAGAAACAAAAACGCATTCACAGTGGCCAAGATGGGCCCAGAGACCAGAGCTACCATACCACGAGTAGAGGTAAGCGAATACGCACTGACCACACTAATGGCACCCGCAAACCCCCCGCCTACACAGACATTAAAAAAGCTTATTAAAAAGTCTCTGACTAAGTATATTACAGACAACAATGCTTGGGTTTGAACTGTTCAAATCATTCCAACAGGTTTTCTATATTAAATAAGTCATGATTGTATTGACGTTGTAACAACATAATGATTTGTAAATGTTGTTACATTATGCTTTTAATGTTGTGGAGCTTTTTTCGCTCGTTTTTCTCCGCAGCTAAGAAATATGTCCAATAACATGGTAGGGAAAAAAATGTTTGGACGATTCAAAGGTGTTGTACTATACATCCAATTTGAATAAAGATATATTGATTTCTGATTTCTTACTGCAGACCGCACGGTCCGACCGCAAACTGCAGTAGGCACTGCTTTTGCAGTCAAATAACGAAGCAGCGAATCAAACCGTTGCAAAAGCACCCACACCATCAGAGACTGCGCCTAAACAGGCGCCTTCCATTAGTACACCAATAGACACTATGCAACGGTTGCTCGCCCTAGCCGAGCAATTCCAAATCGGCCTCCGCTCCATCGTCCAAAATTCGCAGGTATAAAGATTGTGTAGAAAAGTAACATACCAAACTGGATAAAGGCACTGATAGCGACAGCACTGATAGAAACGCAAGCAACAGCGACTCTGGCAACTCTCTCGTTGCCCTACCACAAAGACCAGACTGAACGCGCTAATAGAGAAAATTAAACGCGCCTTTACCTGGGACCATCACCTACTGGGCATGGGCGGCGACTTGCCCTCGGTACACCGCCCATGCAAGAAATTCGCTGCCACCTCACCACCAACACCACGGCCGCTACTTGATGAAAACGGTCAACCGTTCTATAAAGCCGACGACCGCGCCGAGCTGTTGGCCAACCACGTTGAACGCCTGTTTACGCCAAATGAGGTGACAGACAACGAGCACGTCGCGACCGTGAGGTCGCACGTGATTAGTTGTTTGTCATCCCTAGCGGCCACCGATACCGACCCCACCGCTTCAAGTCCAAAAAGTAATTTTCAAGGCAATTTGAAAAGAGGGTAGAGTTATCATGATTCCTAAGCCCGGGAAATACCTCTCACATCCTGAAAGCTACAGGCCCATAACTCTGCTCTCCACACTGTCGAAAATCGAAAGATTGCTGCTACCGATTATTATCCCCCACATAGAGCCGCGCCCAGAGCAGTATGGCTTTCGTGCCAACCACTCAACGATCTTCCAACTCACCAGAGTCCTCCATCACCTCGCAACCTGTGCGAATAAAAGAGAATATACCGGAATTGTGATGCTCGACGTAGGAAAGGCCATCGATAGAGTATGGCACGAGGGCCTACTCTACAAACTCGCACAGACTGAACTTCCAAAGAGACTTATACACATAATCGCGTCGTTCCTCTCTGACCGCTCCATACAAATCACCATCGACGGGACACTATCTACCCGACGACCAGTCAGAGCAGGTGTCCCGCAGGGCAGCTGTTTCTCCCCACATTTGTACTCAGCCTATACAAATGACATTCCAGTGCTGGGAGATACCAAATTCGCATTATACGCAGATGACACAGCGTACATGTGCTCATCTATACGTCCGTACCACGCTGCAGCAAAACTACAGCCCACACTCGACGCATTGGTACCCTGGCTTGATAAATGGCGCATTAGGATAAATGTAGCCAAAACACAGGCCATGCTAATTGGACCGCAAAACAATTTCCCGCCACCACCCAACATCCAAGGAACACCTATTCCATGGGTTCCCGAAGCAAAATACCTGGGATTAACCATCGATAGATGCCTCACCTTAAGACCGCACGCGAAGAAAATAATCGCCCCAGCAAGAACAAAACTTCGCCCCATTCTAAAAAATAAACTCTCGCTACGAACCAAAAGTACAATGTACAAACTGTATATTCGCTCTATCCTACGCCGCGCCCGCGTGGTACGCGCTGGTCGCGGAGTCGCAGCGAAAACGCATCCGCGCGCAGCAGAATCTCTCCTTTCGCACCGTTACTAACGAGGACCGCTTCGTCAGGAACACGACACTACACCGCGACCTAAAAGTAGAACCCCTAGACGACTTCATTGCAACTTTAGCAAAATAAATGTACGGTCGAGCGAAGGACTCTACACACGACCATCTGCGAGAAATCGCTCCTGTATATGAGCGCTCCCGTACCCGCCTCGATAGAGCTCTACTACGAAAGCGCCTACCTCAAGAAGAGCCGACCAGTTCCCGCTCCCGCTCTCCGCGGACAGCAGAACCACCATCGCCCCACTAACATTAGACTCCCCTGCTGGCATTAAATATATATATATATATATATATATATATATATATATATATATATATATATATATATATATCTATATATATAATAAAAAAGCAGGGGGCCACTTCTGTGAGTTCTTCTACCCGATATATGCCTAATTGTAACTAACCATAAGACTAACCCTACCTCCACCCCCCGATAAGTCCACCGCTCGCTGGTCGCTCACCGGGCCTCCCTCACGGGTCTCACCCGGGGGGCCCGGCGGGCCGGAGGGCGGTGGTGAAACTCGGGAACGAGATGGACCCCAACGACCACTTTGTATGAAACGAAGCGCGCAAACAGCCACATCTATAAAGGAGCCATCCTCACCAGATTCCGAGCACGCCGCGGCGCCGCGCGAGACGAAGAAACGACCCTTACCAATCGCTTATTAACAGTTGACCGATACACATCTCCGCAACTCATTGATTGTTTTCAAGAAACCATGGATACCAGACCTCAAGAAGCCGCTCAAGTTGTTGCCTTCTTGCAACAAGGACTCAGTCAGCGAGTAGTCGCTTCCCAGCTTCACTTGAGTCAGTCTGCTGTATCCCGAGTATACAGACGATATCAAGAGATCCAGTCTCCATACATTCACTCGGAGACCAACAATCAGACGCCACCATTGTACTTCTGAATGAGACGACCGCTTCATTGTCTCAACCTCCCTGCAATATCGGCACCTTATGGGTGTTGAAGTGCAGGGCAAGCTGAGACGTGTTCGAGGTGTAGTTGTCAGCGAGTGGACAGTAAGAATACGTCTGAAGGAATCCAACCTGATTCCAAAAAGACCTGCAACGGGCCCCAAATTGACTGCAGGCCACCGGCAAGCTTGGCTACAGTTCTTGAGAGCATCTCAACTGGAGCGTTGGGCAGTGGAGGTCGGTCCTGTTCACTGACCAGTGCAGGATGTGTCTGCATGGCAGTGACAGGAGAGACCGGGTCTACAGGCGTCCGGGAGAGCGATTTTCCCAATGCTGTTTCGCAGAAACAGTTGCCTTTGGTGGCGGTTCTTGCATGATGTGGGCTGGTATCTCGTTGGAGGGTAAAACCGAGCTCGTTTTCGTGCCTGGAGGAGGCCGAGGAGGAGGACTGGCAGCTGATGGGTACATCACAAATATTCTCCTGGAATATGTTGTGGCCTACGCAGGATTTGTTGGCGAAGACTTCATCCTAATGCACGACAATGCTCGATGCCACACAGCGCGCGTTACTCAGCAGTTCCTTCGAGAAGTCGATTTGCGCACAATGGACTGGCCTGCATTCAGTCCAGACCATATGAAAGAGAGTTTCATAAACGCGGCGCAGCAAATTACTCCACTCCACTCCAAGTGTAGTCAGAGGTGTCTCTAGCCCTTGTAGCGATCATTAACCTAGCGCCCTCTAGTAAGCGCGGTCAAAATGTAATAGTGGTAACTAGCGCTCGGCGCTTGCTGCGACCTCTGCGCCCGTGTGCAGCGCACTCCTTGCACCATAGGTAAAGTCGCGTCTCTATGCCAAATCAAAACTTTCCGGCATTGAAAGTCTGAGCTAAGCTGCGGACGGATGGACGGCCAGACGGCCACCAACGATATTGACGGCCACAGCGAAA